TTTTTTTTTTTTTTGAGGAAGAGTTTCACTCTTGTTACCCAGGCTGGAGTGCAATGGCGAAATCTCGGCTCACCGCAACCTCCGCCTCCTGGGTTCAGGCAATTCTCCTGCCTCAGCCTCCTGAGTAGCTGGGATTACAGGCATGCGCCACCATGCCCAGATGATTTTTTGTATTTTTAGTAGAGACGGAGTTTCACCATGTTGACCAGGATGGTCTCAATTTCTTGACCTCGTGATCCACCCGCCTCGGCCTCCCAAAGTGCTGGGATTACAGGCAAGCCACCGTGCCCTGTTTTTATATTTTGAATGCTTATTCCCACCTCCTTAGAATGTTAAACTAGTTATTAACGTCTGATTTTGGAACGCCTTTAGATTCCTCTTTCCATGGTTGCCATCTTTATGCCAACTGGCATAAAGACACAGGGAAAAAGCCAGGTGCAGTGGCTCACGCCTGTAATCCCAGCACTTGGGGAGGCCAAGGGGGATGGATCACCTGAGGTCAGGAGTTCGAGATTAGCCTGTCCAAAATGGTGAAACCCATCTCTGCTAAAAATACCAAAATTAGCTGGGTGTGGTGGCAGGCACCTGTAATCCCAGTTACTTAGGAGGCTGAGTCAAGAGAATCACTTGACCCCAGGAGGCAGAGGTTGCAAAGCCAAGATCACACCACTGCACTCCAGTCTGGGTGACAGAGCAAGACTCTCTCAAAAAAAAAAAAAAAAAAGATATAGGGAAAAGATAAAGAGATAAAAGATAGGGAAAAGCTGTCTGAGTGATAGCTCAGTTATAACCCTGAGAGCCTTTCCCCAGCTGCCTTTATCTAAAGCCTCTCTCCTCCCCAGTCACACCATGTCTTTTATTGTTATTTTTTTCATAGCATTTATACTATCTGAAATTATCTTGCTCTGTGTTTACTGTTTGTTTCTCGTATAATCCATTTGTTTATTTATTGCCTAATACTAATGTTCACAAAATAATCTAGTTCTTGAGCAATGCCTGGCACATTAAACAACAAAATGCAGGCCGGGTGCAATGGCTCATGCCTGTAATCCCAGCACATTGGGAGGCTGAGGTGGTCAGATCACCTGAGGTCGGGAGTTCAAGACCAGCCTGACCAATATGGAGAAACCCTGTCTCTACTAAAAATACAAAATTAGCCGGTCGTAGTGGCACATGCCTGTAATCCCAGGTACTTAGGAGGCTGAGGCAGAAGAATAGCTTGAACCTGGGAGGCAGAAGTTACGGTGAGCCGAGATAGCGCCATTGCACTCCAACCTGGGCAGTGAGGGAAACTCTGTCTCAGAAAAAAAAAAAAGAAAGTGGCCGGGCGCGGTGGCTCAAGCCTGTAATCCCAGCAGTTTGGGAGGCCGAGGCGGGTGGATCATGAGGTCAAGAGATCGAGACCATCCTGGTCAATATGGTGAAACCCCGTCTCTACTAAAAATACAAAAAAAATTGGCTGGGCATGGTGGCGCGTGCCTGTAATCCCAGCTACCCAGGAGGCTGAGGCAGGAGAATTGCCTGAACCCAGGAGACGGAGGTTGCGGTGAGCCGAGATCGCGCCATTGCACTCCAGCCTGGGTAACGAGCGAAAACTCCGTCTCAAAAAAAAAAAAAAAAAAAAGAAAGCAAGCTCAACAGGCTGGGTGCAGGGCTCACACCTTTAATCCCAGGACTTTGGGAGGCCAAGGTGGGAGGTTCACTTGAGCTCCAGAGGCTGAGGATGCAGTGAGCCATGATCATGACATTGCACTCTAGTCTGGGTGACAGAGCAAGAGTCTGTCTCAAAAAACAAAATACCAAAATTACAAAAAAAATTATAATTAGCTGGGCATGGTGGCACACACTGGTAGTCCCAGCTACTGAGGAGGCTGAAACGGGAAGACTGCTTGAGCCCAGGAGGTTGAGGCTGCAGTCAGCCATGATCATCATGCCACTGCACTCTACCCTGGGCAACAGAGGGAGACCCTGTCTCAAAACAAACAAATAATGCTCATGGCTGAGTGCGGTGGCTCATGCCTGTAATCCCAACACTTTGGGAGGCTGAGGTGGGTGGATCACTTGAGGTCAGGAGTTCAAGACCAGCATGGACAACATGGTGAAACCCCATCTCTACTAAAAATAAAAAAATTAGCGGGGTGTAGTGGTGCACACCTGTAATCCCACCTACTTGGGAGGCTGAGGCAGGATAATTGAATCACTTGAACCTAGGAGTCGGAGGTTGCAATAAGCTAAGATCACACCACTGCACTCCAGCCTGGGTGAGCCTCCGTCTCAAAAAAAAAAAAAAAGAAAGAAAGAAAATGCTCAACAGATGCCTACTGGATGAATAAGAAAGTGACGATCAGGAACCAAAGGGCACAATAAAGGGTAAAAAGAATTCCCTGTTTCTGATAGAGATTGTGTGTGTGTGTGTGTGTGTGTGTGTGTGTGTGTGTGTATATATATATATAAAATTTTCTTTTTTTTTTTTTTTGAGACGGAGTTTCACTCTTTTCACTCTTGTTACCCAGGCTGGAGTGCAATGTCGTGATCTCGGCTCACCGCAACCTCCGCTTCCTGGGTTCAGGCAATTCTGCCTCAGCCTCCTGAGTAGCTGGCACTACAGGCGTGCGCCACCATGCCCAGCTAATTTTTGTATTTTTAGTAGAGACAGGGTTTTACCATGTTGACCAGGATGGTCTCGATCTCTTGACCTCGTGATCCACCCGCCTCAGCCTCCCAAAGTGCTGGGATTAATAGGTGTGAGCCACTGCGCCCGGCCTAGAGATAGTATATTTTATATTGAAAAGCCAATGATTTCAGGACACCTGAGACAGGGCAACTGTCTCCATTGGTCTGGGAGCTCGTGGCTTCTGTAAGGTCTACACTTGCGTGACCCAGTCCAAGCTGGCCAGGTTCCCAGATTTATCTCAGTTTCTTGCTTCTTGGTCACTGAGATTTCAAGATAGACGTGTACTGCATATCTATGGAGGCAATCTGTGGCTGCTATTGGGTTTCCTCAGTTCAGGCTGAAAGATAAGCAACTGCTGGCCTGAGATTGTCAATTTTTAGTTAAACTGGCTTAAAATAATCTCCCACTTGTCTAAACAGATGCAGACCCACCACTGAAAATTAATGGAGTCCAGGTGTAGTGGCTCACGCCTGTAATCCCAGCACTTTGGGAGGCTGAGGTGGGCAGATCACCTGAGGTTTGGGGTTCGAGACCAGCCTGGCCGACATGGTGAAACCCCCATCTCTACTGAAAATACAAAAATTAGCCAGGTATGGTGGGACATCCCAGCTACTTGGGAGGCTGAGGCAGGAGAACTGCTGGATCCTGGGAGGTGGAGGGTGCAGTGAGCCAAGATCGTGCCACTGCACTACTCTAGCCTGGGTGACGGAGTGAGACTCCATCTCAAAAAAAAAAAAAAAAAAAATTAATATACCCTAATGATACCTCAAGGACTTCTGGTGATGTCTCCAGCCTGCTTGACTGAAATTTATCTATGCCATGTGTTTGCTAATGAACATGGGGCTGCCTTAGTCAGTGCTCAAGGTTTGCAGCAGCCTCACGATCATTTTATGGCAGTAGCAAGGGTGACTGTTGGTGGAGATGCCAACAAGCTCTCATTCCCCCTGATAGAGGCCCAGGGTCAACCACAGTGGGCAATTTGTATTCACAGAACATCTTCACTCTCAGAGTCTCCTTTTGGGTTCCCTGAGTTCCTGACTTCTCAGGTTCTATATATGTCTAATCTGGTCTTGACTGTTCATTTGTGGATCAGGACAGCAGAAGCTGCATTTTTGGACACAATGACCAGTGGAGATTACACATCCCAAACGCCCTCATTCCCCAACATGTGCATAGACAGAGTGGGATAAAAGTGCATCAGGGTGGTGGGAAGACCCAGGGATTCTAGTGACCAGCCTAGCTGTCTACTGGCTGGCAGAGTTCGTCCTGGCCAGCTCATTTAATCCCTCCTTGCAGAACTGTTAACATCTCTGTGCCATTCTTCAGTTAAATAAGAACCTAAACGCAGGCCTGATGCATGGCTCAGATTACACAGCGGATGTGAAGAGGCTTTGGGAACATATCTTCTCTCCTAAGGACAGGGAGGGGACGCTAGTGTGGGGTGCCTGCGATGTTGCATGCAGGTCAATAACGTTACCGACACACTGACTTAACTCGAGTCCTCACAGATGTGTTTCATTATTATTTTTTCATACCTTAAACATGAATCTAAATGCTGGCTTAAAATCAGGATTAATGCACCAAGAGCTTCCCAGTTTATTAACAATACTGGCTGTGACTTTTTGATTTCTATATTGTGAGCTAGGCACTTCCCTTATTATTATTTCGAATCTTGTCAATGATGCTTTACATTTGAGCTCTTGCCTACTCTGCCAAAGAGCAAGGATTACAAGACTTTTGAGGCAGGTGGAAAGAAGGAAGGAGGGAGCGATGCAAGGAGAGGCTTTCCGATTCCGGAACACACCTGGTCGTGCAAAGTTCACCTTTACATAGAAAGTTTTTGTTTTCCAAGTCATTGAACCGGCAACATATTCTAACGGCCATTTTGGTTGTGGCAATCCCAATTCCCTTGATTTTTTTTTTTCTGTGACGACAACAAAAGGAATTAGACAAGGCCGCCCTGCCCGGGCTTTTTAAGAAACCCCAGCAACCCCCGGGTAAGGAGCGCCGCTCTCCCGCCCGCTGGTCCAGGGCGTGTGCAGTTCCCAGCCCTGCCTCCCTTCTCCCGGCTCTGGGCTCGCGGGTCGGCGCGGGGAGGGCGGGGCTCAGCGGGCCACGCCACCACGCCCAGCGGCTCCGCCCCTCATTTAAATACGCGGCGCCGGCGAGTGCGTCGAGCTCGCCGGGGACTCAAGATGGCGGCGTGTGGACGTGTACCGAGGATGTTCTGCTTGTCGGCGATGCTGCAGTTGCTGCTGCTCGCCGCGGCCGGGGCCGAGAAACTCCTGGGCCAGGGCGTCCACAGCCAGGGCCAGGGCCCCGGAGCCAACTTCGTGTCCTTCGTAGGGCAGGCTGGAGGCGGCGGCCCGGCGGGTCAGCAGCTGCCCCAGCTGCCTCAGTCATCGCAGCTCCAGCAGCAGCAGCAGCAGCAGCAGCAGCAGCAACAACAACAGCAACAGCAACAGCAACAGCAACAGCAGCAGCAGCAGCAGCCCCAGCAGCAACAGCAACAACAGCAGCCTCAGCCGCCGCAGCCGCCTTTCCCGGCGGGTGGGCCTCCGGCCCGGCGGGGTGGAGCGGGAGCTGGCGGGGGCTGGAAGCTGGCGGAAGAAGAGTCTTGCAGGGAGGACGTCACCCGCGTGTGCCCCAAGCACACCTGGAGCAACAACTTGGCGGTGCTCGAGTGCCTGCAGGATGTGAGGGAGGTGAGGAGGTGGGGCCGGGAGGGTCGGGCCTGGTGCGGGTTCGAGGTGTTGCCGGCCTTGGTAGTCGCTGACGCCGGTCTGCTGCTTTCCTCGCTTGCTCCGTGCTGCACTCGCTTCTTCCCTCTTCGTTCCTCAGTCCCAGGCGCATTCAGGGAACAGGACCCCACTCCCACCCCTTTCCTCCCCGCTTTTATTTTCCTCCCTGTTGCCGGGGTCTGGGACGAAGACCTGGGCTCCTGGCCGCAATCCGCCGAGGCCGAGAGCGTGTCTGTTCTTTCCTGTCTTTTGTGTGATGCTCCATGCAGAGTGTCTTCTCGCCGAAGACCAGCTTAGGATTTTGCCATCAGTTTCTACTAGGACAATTTGTGGCTAGCCATTTAAACATTAAAAAAAAAAATACCTGGCGTACTTAGGTTGTAAAGAATGATCTGTTTACTAGCAGTAGATGTTTGATCTGTTTACTACAGTAGATGTAATTCCCAAATCCGTATTCTCGGTGCTGAAATTAATATATGCTTTGTTTTCTTCACTTCCTTTGGTCAGTTTGCATTGAACCTCATGTTTTAGCTGCTAACTCCCAGTGACTTGGCGTCCCAAAGCTTGAAAAGTTGAGGAAGCATTTGAAGCTGTGTGTGTGACTGAGTTATGGGGTCTTGCCCTTCTGAGGTCTGAATGTGATTTTAACAGTATCTCTTAATGAAATCTAGATTTGCCATTCCTTGGTGTAATTCAGTTAAGTGATATTGATAATTTATAATCTAGGTTTAATGCTGCAGACTACAAGCGTATATTTGACAATTCTCAAAGTTTGGGAGCTTTTTCCAGACGTGTAGGTATATGGAATTAGCCCCAAAGGTTGACAAATATAATGAAGCTGCTGCTTGAAACTGGTTTGGGTTCTTTTGTATTACCAGATTTGTTTTAGGCATACAAGCTTTAGGAAGACCACTGGTTTGTAGAATTTTGCTGCTCTTGGCATTCCCCACCCCCTGCATCTCATCCTCTATTGTTCTGTACCAAAGTAATTCAGATAGAGGAAAAGACAAACATAAGCAGGAGACCGAAAGGTTTCCAGAACCACTAGAAATGTGAGGCTTTACCTGATTTCTCATCTTCGGCTTGAAGACTAGAAGGATGGGTACAGCTAAGATTTCTAACTCTATCAAACTTTTTGGGATTTTCTTTTTGCTCTTTGAGGACACAATAGATGTCGTTTCCTCAAACTAAGATCCTAATACTGGCAACTAAACACATTATTAGTGGTTTGTGGGTAGAAGCAGCACATTGTTAGGGAGAGTGGCAGAAAGTGGCCTATTCAAGGAGTATATATATCCTTCTTCATGTGTATTCCAGACATTTGGAAACCTCCACTTAAAGGAGGCAGTTTTATGCTCCAGAGGAGAAAAGGTGTCATGTAAATTGGAAATGGGGATTTTGGGGGACTGAGGGGAGGTGGAAGGGCTAGATTTCCAATTTGATGTTTTGTCCTCCAATTTTTATACACAGAAACAATGAAAGAAGAGTACTATTAATACCTATGTATATTCTTCAGGAGGTGGAGTTATTTTTAAATATATTTTCTTTTTTTCCTTTTTTTTTTTTTTTAAGACGAGTCTCGCTCTGTTGCCAGGCTAGAGTACAGTGGCGCAATCTGGTTTCACTGCAACCTCCACCTCTGGGGTTCAGTTGATTCTCCTACCTCAGCCTCCTGAGTAGCTGAGATTGCAGGCGTGTGCCACCATGCCCAGCTAATTTTATTTTTAGTAGAGACAGGGTCTCACCATGTTGACCAGGGTGGTCTTGATCTCTTGACCTTGTGATCTGCCTGCCTTGGCCTCCCAGAGTGCTGGGATTACAGGCATGAGCCACCCAGCCTGGCCTATTTTTTTTTTTTTTTAAAGACAGCCAAAGGAAATTTCATTCTGCTTAGTCTGGGAGTTGATTGAATCTGATCTATGTGTTTGAAAGAGCATTACTTAAAGACGTAAACTAGCTAGGCACATTTGAAGAAATATGTGTGGAATATGTTTTGTATTTGCTGTTCAGTAAGTAGAACTATTTGGTAGTGAAATAGATATATGTCCTTTTCTATCCCTTTGAATACAAATGCAGGAAACATTGTCCTGCCTGTACCCATTATTGGAATTATGAAAAAGCAGGCCATATGAGTACAGTTGTTCCTTGGTATCACTGGAGGATGGTTGCAGGCCCCCTGCAGATACTGAAATCTGAGATTGCCCAAGTACCTTATACTGTATAAAATGATATCATATTTCCATATGATCTGTGCACACCCTTCCCAATTCTTGTCATCTCTAAAATACTTAAGATATCTCATACAGTGCCTATATATCACTTCATTCATGTGGATTCACTGTAGTACTTAGAATGTGTCAAACTTAACTTTTGCTTTTTGGAACCTTGTGGAACTTTTTTCCTGTTTTTTGTTGTTGTTGTTGTTTTAAGACAGGGTTTCACCATGTTGGTCAGGCTGGTCTTGAACTCCTGACTTTAGGTGATCCGCCTGCCTTGGCCCCCAAAGTGCTTGGATTACAGGCGTGAGCCACCACGCCCGGCGGAACTTTTTTTCTGGGGGAAAAAAAAAATTTTTTTTTTTTTTTTTTTGAAAACCCAGGCTGGAGTGCAGTCATAGCTCACTGCAGCCTCATTCAGCCTTCTGGGTTCAAGAGCTCACTGTAGACTCAACCTTCCGGGTTCAAGTGATCCTCCCACCTGGGCTTTCCAAAGTGCTGGGATTAGAGGTGTGAGCCACTGTGCCTGCTGTTGGGATTTTTTTTTCTTTTTTTTTTTTTTTTTTTTTTTTTTTTTAATGCTCTCAGATGAGTCATGCTTTTAAAAAGTCCTAGTGTTCCCTGGGTCCACTATTAAATAGTAGATGTAACAGCTAGTAATGATGTGTTAGTAGTCCTGGTTGTGTGTGTATAATTAGTAGTAGTTTAAGTTATTTAAAAAGAAAGAAAACTAGAAAGTATAAACAAAAAAGAAAAAAATATTCCCTGGGCTGTTTAGTAGGTGGCGTAGTAATGCCAATGGAAGAGAAGATACTGCTGCCTAGCATGTGATAAAGAAGACATGCTTGGTGTTGAGTCATTTTAAAATACTTTGTATTCTTGGTTGAAATGGCCAATAGCACCTTTTTTTTTTCCCCCAGTAGTGTCTTGTATTTAGAAGTTTCAGGTGGAGACCTTGGTTCCTTAGAAGTTTGTGGTGTTCCACCAGGTACAGTGGTGGACACCTGAAATCCTAGCACTTTAGGAGGCTGAGGCTGGAGGATTGCTTGAGCTCAGGAGTTCAGTACCAGCCAGGGCAACATAGTGAGATAGTCTCTAAAAAAAGAATTTTATGATGTTCATAGATTAGATCTATCTATCTTTGTTTGTTTGTTTGTTTCTTTCTTTCTTTCTTTTTCTTTCTTTCTTTTTCTTTCTTTCTCTTTCTCTCTTTCTTTCTTTCTTTTTCTCTTTCTTTCTCTCTCTTTCTTTCTTTCTTTCTTTCTCTCTCTCTCTCTCTCTCTCTCTCTTTTTCTTTCTTTCTTTTCCTTCTTTCCTCCCTCCCTCCCCCTCTTTCCTTTCCTTCCTTTCTCTTTCTATCTTTTCTTTTCTTTTCTTTTTTCTTTCTTTCTTTCCTTTCTTTCTGTCTTAGTGTCATTCAGGCTGAAGTGTAGTGGCACAGTCTTGGCTCATTGCAACCTCCACCTCCTGGATTCAGGTGATTCTCCTGCCTCAGCCTCCTCACCACCTTGGCCAGGCTAGTCTTGAACTCCTGACCTCCACCTGCCTCCATCTCTCAAAGTGCTGGGATTACATGTGAGCCACTGCGCTCGGCCCATAGATTTTCTTACACAATAGTAGAGACAATAGTGTAGTGAGTCCCCAGATATACAATATACATCACCCAGCTTCAAGTATTCCCACTTTATTTATTTATTTATTATTTATTGAGATGGAGTCTCACTCTGTTATCCAGGCTGTAGCACAATGGCATGAGATCGGCTCACTGCAGCCTCTGCCTCCTGGGTTCAAGTGATTCTCCTGTCTCATCCTCCCTAGTAGCTGGAACTCCAGGCATGCACCACCACACCCGGCTATTTTTGTATTTTTTTAGTAGAGACAGAGTTTCACCGTATTGGCCAGGCTGGTCTTGAGCTCTGATCTTGTGTTCTGTCTGCCTTGGCCTCACAACATATTGGGTTTATAGGCGTGAGCCACCTTGCCTGGCCCCACCCTTTTATTTTTAGGGTTACAGGGTTGGGAGACTGTCATATTTTAAAACAAATCCCAGATACTATGTCATTTCAAATACTTTGATGTATATCTGTGATACTTTTTAAAAACTAGAAGCCGTTTTTTTTTTATTTAAATGTGTAATGAAATCATTCTTTTGCAAGTAATTCTGACGCTAAAAAAAAGAAAAACATAAAAAAAATCTTCTGACTCTCTCTTAACCTTTTCTTGATATATCAGCCTCATATTATAAATTTCCACCTAAGCTTCGCACAGAGTGAATGCTTTGTAAATGTTAACATTTCAGTATTGGAAACCGTAAACCCTCTTTCAGACTCATAGGTAAACATTTTTGTTGTTACTCTGTACTTAACCTTTCACTTAACTGTATGCTTGAGATAGTGGAATACACCATCTCTGTTGTCTCACTGTTGATAGTCATGTGAGGTGGTTAGTGCTAGTATTACTCTTTTAGCAGAGAAATAGGCTCAAAGAGCTAAAGTAACTTCTGTTGTATCTGAAGTTGTAGAGCTGGTATTCATCAAGTCCTTTTTGACTTAAAAGACAATAGTCTTTCTAATCTACCATGGGTGGTTGTGGTTAAGGAAATGAGTATGTGACTGTTGAGAATGTCACAGGCTTATAAATGTATGCTAAATGGGACACAAGAACAATTGAGTTGTAACAGTGCTTTGAAGTATGTGTAGATTTCTCAGGTAAACAGATCAGCATTATCACCCAAAGCTAATTTAATTA